ATGTACAATTTCCTTTGTAATGCAACCGCAGAATATTATGTCTCAACGTATTGTCTCTTTTAAAAATCCGAAATTTAAATGCTGTTGCGGTGATTTTTTGTAACTCTCAATTCGAGTACTTAATATACAGGCATTAACAGCGAAATGTAACAGTGAAACGCAAAAAGCATTTAAACTCCGAAGATAATCCACGAGTTTAAAAACTATCAAACTACGACAAATCAAGTTTCAGAGAATCTATATTATTCAGGCCCAGTTTCACAACTGACGGTTAACTCATAGCCGCAAAGTTCAATTTATTCATTGTCTCTTTCCAATTTTAGAATTGGAAAAAGATGAGAAACAAGTTGAGCCTCGGTTAAGAGTTAACCATGAGTTGTGAAACTGGGCCTTAGTAAAAATATTAATATCACCCCGTCAATAAATATATAAAAAATTAAATTGTATCTGACTATTAAACATTGTTTTAATGATCACAATAATAATATGTCATTATCAATATTACGAAGAAGTATACCTTCTTCGTAATATTGATAATTTGAAACTCCAACATTATTAATATTGTCTAATTCTTATCAAACTGTAATGTCATATTAAAAGATTTCAACTAAGAAACTGATTGTGCTGTTTCGATATTATTACAAATTTATAAATTTTTACAAAAGAAATTTAATTATAAAAAAATAATAGAGTAATGTTCTTAAACATTTCTTAAAAAAAGTATTTTAAAATATCTTTTAAATTTCTTAAAGATTTTTTAAAGAATTTTTTTTTAATGATGAGACTGCTTTCGATTGATTTGTTAAATAATGAAGGGATATCAAGTATAATATAACTTAAAAATACTAATGTTATCTTATACGTCTCCAGAACCATTAAAATGTGTATAAAGTACTTTATGTGTAATTACCTTATTATAATTTTACGATATATAATTACAATATATCAACAATAGGAAATTTACATTTTCAATTAAGTAACTCATGTACAATCATATATATATGTCTAAACTATGTTAAGTATCCACGCTTTTTTCTTACAAAAAATATGATTTTATTGTCCACTCCGAACAAGTAATAGGTAATTTGTGCACACAAAAACTTTGATTTGTATATTGGAAGCAAAAATATGTCATAACTTCTCTTTTTATGTTATAGGAAATCTGATGCGTTACATTATATCAATATTTCGATAAACAAGCAACAATTAAATTTTTTCTAATTTCAACTCGCATCATATATTCAAACTCTTACCATTTCAAAACAACCTTGTTTTTTCTTTATACATGTAGAATAAACTAAAAAACCTTCCAGATGTACCTCTTTGATTTTAATGAAACTTGCGTTTTTGTAGAGAGAATAAAAATGTTCGATATATATTTTTTATCAGCAAACATATTTAAGGAGGTTGTAAGGCAAATGCAATATGTTAATAATTGAAAAAATTACGGATTATTCTACATTGCATCTAAAAGTAATGTAAAAAAATTGGAGATAATTTATTTGGATCAAGTTATTTCAATAAAAAGTAATATTTTTTTAATTTGTACTATAATAGAAATATATGGAAATGTATTATAAAATAATGATAAAAATCTCAATTTTTTAATATAAGTTCTTTATGAATTCAAGAATATTTATGAAAAGTTACATTGAGATGCAGACATTAGTTGTTCACAGTAAACAAACAAAATATCTATTCGTTATGAACCAATTGGTAAATCTGAATGAAATTTTGCAATAAGTCATTTTTAAAAATACTTATACAAAAAAATTTAGATTTTTGTTATCATTTTTAAAATTTTTGTTTCTTTTTCTTCTTCTTACATTAGGCCTCTGGTCTGTGTTACAGTTCTCTCATATGCTTGTGGTGCGCACGCTGATTATTCAATTGCCATGAACATATGGGACCTATAGTTTTAATCGGTTCTGAACAGCGGATTTTTCGAGGTGTTTCTGTGGGCAAGGATCCTCCCGGGAGATTGCCGGCCTTTTCCGAGAGGAGACACGAGCGTAAATATTTTAGTTCCTACTGAGATTGAATCCGGGACCTCTGACATGATAGATCAGTGCACTGTCTGCCATACTAAATTTTTGTTTATAACAATAAAAATAACAAATAAAATAATCTATAAAAATGTGTTGCTCAATAAAAACAGAATGTTATAAACACAACTTTCATATGTATGTAGTTTTTTGTTTAATATGTGTAAATATGCATAAATATTTGATATGTGTTTTATGCCCTTACAACCTTCTTAAGGCATGAAATGAACCAAATTTTCGTTTTTTGGCTATAACTTTTGAATGAAGTATGATAAGTGTAATTTCGTTAAGGTGGTTCTTTAGTAAATCGAGTTACCATAAAAATGTCTAATTTTTTTATAAAATAAAGTGGAAGTATCGAAATTGACATGTGCAAAATTTTATGAAAGGTTAATGATGAAATAAGAGAGAAAAAAAGTTGAAAATGTAACTTTTCACCTATAACTTAATGACAGATAAGGCTCGCAGACGCTTCTTTGATTAACTGCACACAAATCTTACCATAGACTTTCCTCAAAAAACGAGATTATAAAGCGTCGTTTATAATGAACAGTAGCAGTAGAGGTTGTAGATATACATCGGGAGTAAGCTGGCCCAGCCATAAACGTCGGGCGACGTTAAATCAGCATCGATTTGACATTGATCGATCAACCATTTCTGGCTAGGTCGGAAAACCAGGTTACTCCCTACGTATCTAAAGCCTCTACTGCTACTGTTCATTGTAGACGACGCTTAATAGTTTAACAAACTTACGATTTTAATGGTCACAAAAAAGTAATAGGTCAACAGTCATTTTATTATTTTATTTGGCGACATGCGACCATGGAGACTTTTAACTAAGACGATCAGAAGTACAATATATTACAAATTCAGCTAAATTAGCCGGAACCCAATTTCCATATGTTTTATGCGGGGTCCTTCAGCCTCGAAAAATAAATATAATCTTATCTTGTTTTTGTTCGTAAAATCGTAATTAAACTATTAAGCGTCGTCTACGATGAACAGTAGCAGTAGAGGCTGTAGATACGTCGGAAGTAAGCTAGTTTTCCGACCTAGCCAGAAATGGTTGATCAATCAATGTCAAATCGATCCTGATTTAATGTCGCTCGACGTTTCTGGATGGGCCAGCTTTTGATGCAGCTCTTGATTTACTATCGTATGTTCCATACTATTTCATTAAAATAATACACGTAGTTTTAATATTTTATCTAAATTATCCAGATATTTGTAATTTTGAGTGAGCACTAGTGAGGCACTCCAAATTTTTGGCACTTTACTAAAGAACCACTTCGACATACAAATGTGCTTTTCTTGTAAATAATTTTACAAATTATTTAACTGTTAACAATAATACACTATAAACGTATCGTATTGCCTTCTATGTTTTGTGTAAGTAATGTGCCGATACAAAACTTTCCTGTGAAATTATATCACAGATTGGAGAAGCCCATTTTCGAGATATTGCATTTTGTCACATTAATATTTGAAAATACAATAATAATTGTTGTATTTTTAACTATAATTGTGTATATATACATATATAAATATTGTAATTTCAATATTCTCTTATTATCACTTTACAGGTTGTTTATTTCAACGAGCAATGTTATTTATGCTCTTATTTAAAATTATAACTTACAAGTGTTGAGTTGCCACATTTTTTTAGGGAAAGTTTTGTATAATGTTCATTTACTATATAATAAATAAAGAATTGCTGGGTACAAAGTCAATATTATAAACACTCAGATGCTGCGCTATAATATACAGAGTGTTTCATAAATGCATGTCAATACTTTAGGATAGTACTGGAATTTACTTGTACATTTTGGCCGATTTTCAATTTGATTCCTGCCCCTTACTGTGCAAGTAGCGTGTGTTAACGCACAAGGCGGGCATCGCGAACAATTTCCTTAATCATTCATAACTTGAAAACTAAGATATGTAGGACATAGGTTATGTTTATATTAATAATAATAAATAAGTTTCAAAAGGCTAATGAGAGTCAGCGCGGAAGGGGTTGCGCAGTTATCGATAAGTAAAATTACTTCTTCTAACACACTTGATATTTTCTTTATTTCAAAATCTTGAACGTTTCGACTCGCTTTGTAGTCATACTGTGCGCAACCTCTTCCGCGCTGACTCTCATCATTAGCCTTGAAATTTGTTTATATATTATTATTATTATTTTAAATATAGAGTCCATTTTAATCATTATATATGTTTATATGACGCTTTTTTACTTATTTTAGTATATAGATTTACCTTCTAAAATATTGACATATATTTATGAAACATCCTATATATTAGGTGGTAAACTTAATTCCTGTCGTTTTTTCGTCTCCAAAATTTTTCGACCATTGGAGTAGCATTTAACGCTTTCAACAACTCGAAAAGCGTTTGAACTGGATATTCTTATCGAGCAATTCTTACAGTTCGTCATCTTCAAATATTTTTCGGTTGTCCGGGACGTTCTTTATCTCTCACATCAAAATCATCGTTTCAAAAGCGTTCAAACCAAACTCTACATGTTCTTTCCGTTGGAGTTTCATCACCATACACTTCGGATAGTAAGCGATGCGTTTCAGCTGCGGTTTTCTTAAGGTCGAAGTAGTGAAAAAGCAAATGTCGGAAAAACAGCTTATCGCGGTTAATTTTCAATCAATTGGAAAATCTCTTTGGTGTCAAGAAATTTAACCTGTGAGGACTGAATTACTTTCAGTAATGTCTAAACTACAAAAGACTTGCGACTTCACTCGCCGAAGTCGAAACTCGCCAGCGTTGGAGCCAGCATCCTCTAATAGCGAGCGGCAGGAATTAAGTTTACCACCTTAATACAATACATATCTATGATTTAAACATAAAAATATGTACATATATCTAGACATAGATATATATGTACAGTTATTATTATTACAGTAATACATACATTTATAATTAATTCAAATTTATGCGCGCCTCATCATTGTGTCATATTCTTGTGCAAATATTCGAAAAGAAAAAGAGAAATGCGAAAATAAAAATTATGTCAACGGTTCGCGTTTCGGTAAATATTTTCGTTGTACAAAAACGAGGCATCCAACATTTACGTTTATATCACTCTTTTAGGTCACGATTTATATTGCACTGACAATATTCGTCACCCTGCATGACTTTCTGGTTCAGTTTTATAATCTTGCATGGTAAGAATATAAGGCACGACGCTAGCCACGCTTACTCGACCGATGAGACCCGAGAAGAAGAGGTCCTCTAGAACTCTAGGATTAATCGAGCGGAGAGGTGCTAGCCTCAACAGAAGGCGAGGTAATCTATCGGAGCCTACACGTTGCTGCAGCTCCGTCCATGCTGCTTCCTGCAAGACTTCAACTTTCTTATGCCAGATGCCTGCTAAGACATTATCTAAAAAATAACAATAAATGTCTCACTCTGTTATTCATGATAAATAAACTTCATTGTTTGTCATTTACATTCACTTACCAGCACTAAAAAGCGTTAAAGCTTTAAGATATGCGTATTCGACGGAATCCACTTGTAACTTGTGCAGTGAATTTACACAATCCTGTAGTCTCCATATATGTTCTGTAACACATTTTACTTTGCCAGCAGTGACTTTCTCTTGTGCGATACTAGCTTGTAAGTGATTAATTATCGACGTCAAAATACTAGGAAGTGACAAGGTATATGCACATTGTGCCAGACCTAATGTGAACAATTGTCCCCAGGAACTTCTAACTAAAGTAGTTTGAACGTCAGATCTAAAACGTACAACATTTATCTTAAACAACTTTATCATCAATATGATCAAGAGGTAGACGTACTATTTCTATAAATTACGTCACACTTACGGCAAAGCTTGAAATGCTGGTATTCCTCGTGCCCAATGTACAGACAAAAATAATAATCTAGCTGCACTTTCACATATGTAGTGAATAGATAAATACACAGGTGCTGGGCTAGGCGCCCTCAATTCAAACAATGTATTTCGCTCAGAGATTAATTGGCCGGTCCATTCTTCCTCCGGTTCGCTCGAGCCATTAACATTCTGCAAGCAGATACCGCGATACATTAACGATCTATCTATAGAAATAATACAATGAGATAACAATCGTAACTTACATCACCAATGATTTTAGCCATACTATCTGCTAACGCATGAGAAAGGAGTAAACGCTCACGAGCTAAGGTCAAAGCATCGCTGAGAGCATCACTATCGCTACTTTGGTCTTCCATGCTAGGGCTCTCGGGTTGCTCCCAAGTCGGCAGTGCCTCGGGCGCAGGCTGTTGCGGCTCAGGTTTTACCCTAGGGTTACGGTTGCCAACTTTTGTCCCAGCCGAATCACCCAATACTGGTTTTCTCTCATGTTGTACAGCTGCAACATCGTAACAAGTCCTAGATTCGATCTCGATCTTCACTCGATCTTTTATATATGTAAATAAATAAATATATACATATAAATTAAGATGAATATGCATTAAGTGAATATGCGTAACTTCATTTCCTTTCCGTGTTATACTTTAAATTATATGTATTCTTTAACACTCACAACTAGTTCTAAAGAACATACAGGGTGCCCCGACCTTTTTTGCTAATCACTTTTGTTTAGATAGAGCGGACTAAACTGAGTCGAAAAGTCCTCTACCATTTGCACAATAGTTAACAAGATATTAATTACTAAAACTTGCAAAATATTGGTCTTGAATAATTTTTTACTCAAATACTATCAACTTTACAGAAAAACTGCAAGAGACAAAAATTATTTATTTTCTTTTCATAAAGTTCTGAGAATTTTTTCAGAATTTTTTAAGAATTTTTTAATACCGTATTTTCTCATGTTGGTAAAAATAAGAAAATGCAGTACTAAAAAGTTGATAAAGAATTCTGAAAATTTCTCAGAACTTTATGAGAAGAAAATAAATAATTTTTGTCTCTTGCAGTTGTTCTGTAAAGTTGATAGTATTTGAGTAAAAAATTATTCAAGACCAATATTTTGCAATTTTTAGTAATTAATATCTTGTTAACTATTGCGAAAATTGCAAAATGGTAGAGGACTTTTCGACTCAGTTTAGTCTGCTCTATCTATACAAAAGTGATTGGCAAAAAAGATCGGGACACCCTGTATATAATATTGAAAATATAATATGGAAAGAAAATTAAGTTATGTGTATTCATTATACTAATTAAAATGTTGTTCTAATTCAGAATTAAAAAAATTGTCTATTAAAAAGTAATTAATTTTGAGATATGTCATTTTTGTATTAACACAACGATATGAATTGGTTATAAAAGGTCGATTAAAGAGTGAAAGAAAAAAAATATGGTACTGTATAGCAATTAGAGAAGGATATTCAATAAAAAAACAACATGATAATTAATCACTTACAGTCGCTTCTCATGCCCATCGCCAAGCACTTCTGAAGTCTGCAATACTGACAACGATTTCTGTGATGTTTGGTAACTTCGCAACTTTTGCTTCCTCTACATTGGTAGCCCAACTGCTTGCGGATGCTACGCTTAAAAAAACCTTTGCAACCCTCGCAGCTGATCGCTCCATAATGCCTGCCACTAGCTCTGTCTCCACAAACTACACAAAGTTCTAAGGACAGCCCTAAGCCTAATGAGCCGCGAACGTCCCTCGCTAATTTTACCTATAAAAAAAATGTTAAAATATTATTCGAGTTAATAAAGATGAACACTTAAGAAATCAATGTAATGTACAATAACGGATATATATATTTACCTCAACGTCAACATTAGTCAAATGCTCCATGCCAGAATGCAAATGAACCATTCCAGGATGATGGCCGAGATTGCGAAAATCTCTTCCTATCTTGAGGTCCATCTTGTCGTCATGCATGTCAACGTGATTATTTTGATCCCTATCTACATCTCTCTGCAAAAAAAAAAAACAAATACAATATTTAATTAAATCAATGTTATAAAAAGTTATCAGCTCCGGATTAATATATTTACCATGGCTGGATGATGTCCTATATTATGAAAATTCCTCCCTAATTTTTCGGGCTTGTCGTCGTGCAAGTTCTCGACATGATCAGCCGGATCGATGTCCATGTCTCTCTGCAACGACAAGAATTTAAAAACTGGCTTTTATAAAGAAATTATTATATTAATCTATTTCCATAATAATTCCTTAATCTATTTCCATAATGATAAAAGAAATAACAACCGGCTTATTGCTTTATTGATTACAAATGAATAATTATCATAGAAATAATTTGAAAATCATTAATATCATTAATTTTTAATTATCTTCAGAACGACTACTAACTCATTGTCTCTCAGCGTTTCTCGTGGAATAATAATTATCGTGAAAATAATAAACAATTTGTATGATGATTACATTAATTACTAATTTCTCGATAAACGCCGATTGTTATTTTCTCATACACGCCGCGTAATCATTGAAGGGGAAATGTTATGACAAGCAATGAACCTCTGCATCGGCATCCGGCGTACGATCGCGATGGTGGGAGAGGCTGCAGAAAGCCATTCCAACTTTGCAGTCCGGTTCCTTCTCACTCAGATTATCGTGATCGCGTTGCTCCCTATGGTCCCTGTCCATTTCTCTCTGTAAAACGGATCGGCGCCTCCGTTAGACGAGCGCGTAGAACAGCGTAGAACGTATCTCAGATATTTCCGCGCTGATCGCACAATAATACACGGCGCGTTACCGTTCCGAGAGAGCGCTATTACGAACCGAGAGCGTGAACCGATGGGGCTCTCCTTTTCGATGCGTGTTAAACTAGCATTAATGATTTTCAGCCGGATATTGCGAACCTCAAACGCCGATTCCAACGCGATTCGAACGCTCGTGAAACGCGGTGCACCGCAGCGTTGTAACGCATTACAGCCATGTCGAATTAAAGAGAATTGAATGCCGAATAATGAAAGAAGTCTGCGATCTTTCAGCAGATTCTGAATACTGTTTTCGCCGAGATGCAATGTAAAGCGACCCGATCAATATTATTGTACAATAATTGATATTACACAATATTTTATTGATCATCTTGGACCAATATTGAGTCTCCAAACTATTTGTTTTGAATTGTTTAAAGAGGGCATCAATAAAGCGTATTGTATAATTGAAAAACGAAGCCAATAGAAACAGGGAATAAGGAAATAGATTTCAATCTATCAGAAATTATGTATTCTGGTATACACTGTTTTCTGTAGCTGAACTAGTGTACACTTTTAAAGTAAAATAGATATCTATATGTTCGATATTTGGCGAAAGAGAGAAAGTTCTAATGCAATCTAGTGCAGGAATAAAAAAACAGACTGATAAATGACTTGATTTCTATTTCTGATACGTTAAAATTTGATATAATATTTCCTGTTTCTATTGCCTGTACTTTTCACTTGTGTCTCAGGCTTCGTACGGTAAAGTGGTATAATTTTTAACGAAATAAGATTTGAATCCAAATACAAGACTCAAGTTTGGTAATCTTGATCTCATTATGTAAAGGATATTAAAGGATACCACCAAACTGGAAAAAGCCAAACTCGAACTTCGCAAATTGGATTTAAACCTTATTTTGTTCAGAATTGTACCATGTACCACTTTATCCTATTGTACAAAATAATTAAGGGGATGGGCGGAATAAAGGCCTAATTACAAAATCTTGATTTTAATAAAAATTTAATAACTTTTTTTTTGCTACTTTTTTATTATACACAAATAGGTACAAAATATCAAATGAATTTATGTAATGTCTTTAAGAAGTTACATGTTACAATACTCCTCTATTACGATCAATATTATATAAAAAAAGCTAATCTCCGGAAAAAGAGCCTAAGTAAAATTGTGTCTTTATTCCGCCCATCTCCTCAATTGTACATTAATATTAAACGTCTACAAATCTGAGTAAAAAATAACTTCAATCTATGTATGATTTAGTTTTGAAAAAATAACATTATACTATATACGTTTAAATGTGTAAATCATTTTTATAGGCAATATAGTATGCTATTTTTACTAAAAAATAAAATATATATATGTACATATATATATATATTAAAGTCGCTTTTTATACACTTAAATTTGCAGTGCAGGGACCGTTTTAGAATAAGAAACGCAACGCAAGAGCAAGCGAACCAGGAATTCTGCAAAACGTTTTAATTTTGATTTGCCATTGAAATAAATTTTAAACGAGATAGGTACGTGAGGTACGTGATATAATCATTTACACGGCCAACGCTGTCAAGTCATCGCGTTGTCGATCGCGGGAAAGTGCACCGTCCTCGACAATCGATACCGATCCCTCGCTCTTCTCGCGGTCGCATCCCGCCGCGAGGCGAGAGGAGAGACGGATTGCGCG